GGTGATTACAAGGTTTATTCATTTCATGATCATCAAGTTATACAGGTCTGATTTGCATACTTTATATTACACAGAAAATGTTTAGTTAAAACTATCTTTTTTAAAAATCCAAAAATTGAAAAGTAAGTGTTATACAGCAAAGAGTGTGTGCCAAAATAAAGATGGTATGCTCTGGAAAAGTTGTTAGATGACCCAAGAAGTTATGCACTTATGATTACACATAATTGTTATTTGTGGGAGGAAATTCCCAAGACCTTGAATGGTGCTCAGTGTGTAGTAGATTCTCAGTAAATCATCATTGATGGAATGTATATTCCTGGCACTAACATGGGGATGTGCTGTTGACTGTGGCTGAGGACTCTTTCCAGGGAAAATGGGCCACTTCCCTGGGGGAACAAGCAGGCTTGATTTCTCATCAAAAACTTAAGCTCAAAAGTAACCAAGACAGTACTTTCACTCTCATTCTGCCTTACAGTGACGTGAGGAGAGGAAAGAGTCTAGGTGCTTTTATTCTCCACTTGATCATCTCTGACTTTTAAAGACTCATGATAGCATAGTGTTTAAGGGCATAGGACCTATGGATTTTTCTGGTGTGTAGTGGATAAGAAGCTGCATGCCAATGCAGGGAACATGGGTTCGATCCTTGGTCCAGGAAGATCCCTCATGCCTCAGAGCAGCTAAACCTGTGCATCACAACTACTGAAGCCTGCACGCTGTAGGGCCCACGAGCCACAGATAATGAGCCTCCGTGCTGCAACCACTGGAGCCCAAGCGCCTAGAGCCCATGCTCCACAAGAGAAGCCCAGGCATCACAGCTAGAGGGTAGCCCCCACACTCCACAACTAGAGAAAGCCCACGTGCAGGAACAAAGACCCAGCACAACCAAAAATAATTAATCAATTTTAAAAAAGAGCATAGGGCTTAAATCAAAACCATCTGAGTTCAAATCCTGACCCTACTGCTGTTAACTGTGTAACCTTGAGTAAGTTATCTAACTTCTCGGTGCTTCGGTTTCTCCATCTGTGTAATGGAGGTGATGATAGTACTTCCAGCATTGAGTTGTAAGAATTAAATAACATAATTGATGTAACGTGTGTAGAGCATCGCTCTCCATAACTGTTTAATAGCTCCCCAGAATGACTTGCCAGGAATAGGGGGTTCCCTTTGTCAACTCTGATTCCCTGACACCTTAACCTTGTTGCCTCCACCAGTTTCACTGGGATGGCTTTTCTCTGCTGCCTTGTTCTGTGACATGCTCGCTTTTCATCTCTCCGGGACCCTCTGTTGCTCTTGGATCTCCTGGGATCCAGTTGCCCCAGGACCACTGGCAGTGAGTGGAACACTCTTGGCTCTGACACCTCTATGCCTCTGCACCTATTGTTCCGTCTGTCTGGAATGCTCACCCCCTTGACTTGCCTGGCAAGCTCCATTCAATCTCTTTAGGTCATAGTGGTCACCACCTGGCTGAAGAGTTTTTCCCAAATCCAGACAGATTGGCACAGTGAATCCACCTTCCAGAGCAGAAGACACAAGAGACTCGGGTTCAATCCTTGGGTCAGGAAGATCCCCTGGAGTAGGAAATGACAATTTGATCCAGTATTCTTGCCTGGAATATTCCATGGACAGAGAATCCTGGCAGTCCATGGAGTCGCAAAGAGTTGGACATGACTGAGTGACTGACTTATGCGCACATGTCTATGCCTCTGCTGCCTGTTGGATGTCCATCTGTCACAGTTCAGATCACTGTGTTGCAATTCCTCGTGTGTCTTTCTCTGCTATAGACAGGATATTTAGTGAAGGCAGGGACTGTATCTTACTTATTCTGTGCTCCTCAGCATCTAGCACTGGGTCTGCTACAAGTGGACATAGAGAAAGATGTTGGAAATGGCAGGAATGGATGGATGGATAGTGGGCACTGGCTTTTTCCTGGCATCATAGGTTCTAGGCTATGTGACCGCTTCAAGGGCAGGGAGTGTCAGCACAGGGCACAGGACACGTCAGCAGCCCGACTGCTTAATAAGCAGTCAGTGATTTGGCTAATGAAGGTAGGAATAATGATGATAATCAAATGGTACCTGAGGCTGACCCAGAGCCATGCCCATTCTCCTGCTTCCTAGTGAGTCATCCCTGGCTGGGCCTGAGGACAGGAATCAGGCTGAGACACAGTAAACAGTGGCTGAGCTGCCTCTAGACAATCTGATCTTGACCATGACTCACTCCAGCCTGTGGTGGCGGCTGGAGCCTGGCCTCCACAGTCACACAGTTCAGATCCCAGCACAGAGGGTGATCATGCAGACCTTGAGCAAGTTGTAGACCCTGTCTAAGCCTGTTTCTTCCTCTACCCTCTCTGACTGATGGGACACTATTCCTGCTCTTAAGACATTGATAGTGAAGACACAGTGCCCCACCTTCAGAAACCCTTCAGTCTCATGGAGAAAGCATTACTGCCTGTATCAAACTGTATTATAATTTGCTTCTTTAGTTTTGCTCAGCTTGTCTTTATGTTCATCTAGAAGGCTTGGTTAGGGTACAGGGTGTGACTCAAGAGACACAGACAAGAAATAGACAGAAGTGTGGCTCCCCAATCCTGTGGAGGGGTAGGAAAGAAATTTGCAAAGGAACGAAGTAGGCTAATAAGGAAAGCTATTTGGATGATGGAAGCATTAGGTAAATTGTGGGAAATGGCTGGGGTGGATAAAGAAGTGCGTTTTCTAATGGCTGCTCAGGATTGGAGTCGGGGGCGGGGTGGTGAGAGGCAGGAAGAACTTAGCCTGAGCGTTCAGAGAGGTGCCACAGTAAACTACTGGGGGCAGAAGGGACATAAAAGATAGAATGGCCCCAGACCCCTGAACCTGCCGGAATTGGCCCCTATGGGGAGACGAGGCATCTCCTCTTTATCCATTAGCCGTGGCATGCAGGATCCTTAGCCGGGGCACGTGAACTCTTGGTTCCCCATCCTGGGATTGAATCCATGCCCCCTACAGTGAAGCATAGAATCTTAACCACTGGGAAACCAGGGAAGTCCCCCAAGGTATATGCTCGTGAAAGGGTTGCCTCATGCATCTTCGAGGTGAGATGAGCCTAAGGGGTGGGATGGGGGCAGGGCTGGGAGGGGTGCCTGGGGCTGAGGTCTGGGTCTGGGGTTCTGGTAGAGGGGAGAGGGTGGAGAGATGTAGGGCTTGCTCCCAGTCTCTTAGAGGATGTCTCTATTTAAGGATTATGATTAGTCCTGGCTAGGGGTGGTTGTTGAGCAGGACACAGCCTTTCTGACGGATGTTGGGGTCACCATGGGAAAAGGGAGTGACTGAGGCCCTAATGCTAGTCAGAGCAGTTTGGTCTGGACTTGTAGCCTCTGGGTAGACCCTGGAGATGTGCGGACACAGGCCTCCTTATGCTGGGGGCCACTGATCTTTTTACTGTGACATGCAGAAGACGGTGAGCATGCCCTGGTGTACCCTGTTCATCTGCAGAGTCGGCGCAGGTGTGAACACCTGGCTTGGGAGCGTGTATCCTTTCCCTGAACATGTTTGCTGTATGTCACTGTGTGTATCTGGGCTGTGCACTTCTGTGATGTGTGTGTACTGATGGAAGGTCTGTTTCGTGAGTCAATGTAGGCAATGTCTGAGTTGTTCAACTTAGTGTGTGGGCCTGAGTTTCGCGTGTCTCTTCACTGTGGGGTCTGAGCTGTGAGTTTCGACTTCATTCTGGTGTCTGAGTGGTGAATGGGTGATTGGGTAAGGGGCAGGGGCACTCTTGCTGCTAGCATAGGGGGCCCACAATGGGTCCATGGCCTATTCCGTTGTGGTCTCTTTCCCTGGGGCCTTAGGGAGAGGTCTGAGTGATGACTCCTAGACCGTTGTCCCTGAGTGAATGACCTCTTGTGGAGTAATCATTAACTTGGCCCCCCGTGAGAAGAATCCAGACTGTGGTGGTAAGGGGGGTGGGGCCTGGTCAGGACAGGCCTCATTGCTGGAGAAAGAAGGAGGCCAGAAAGGGGGGTCCTATAGGCATGTGTGTTGTTATCATCCACTCCTGCCCATCTTGCAGGTCATTGACCCTGACCTGGGTGATGTTCAAAATATTTAACGAACAGTGAGGCACAGACATTGACCAATCAGAGAAGACACAAGCCATGCTCTGAATGGAGCAGCCCTGGAAGCCAGGCTGTGCCAAGCGTTGCCTCTCTAGGTGCTGGACAGGAGGATGGGTACCAGGAGAAAGGAGCACTGAGGGGCAGTGGAGGGGATTCCGGGGCCCTCCAGCAGTGGCTGTGAACCGGCTGTCATGGAAGTGTGTTTCAGACTTTAACAACTGGCGTGACAGCTAAACCTCAGTCTGCCTTGGCTTCCAAGCAGCTCCCAGGTCAGCCCTAACTGCCCTTGCCCCCTCCCGTTAAGAGAACAGGGGACCACTCCCTTCTGTCTGCTGAAAGAATAGGGGAAGTTCAGTTCAGTACAGTTGCTCAGTCATGTCCAACTCTTTGTGACCCCATGGACTGCAGCACGCCAGGCCTCCCTGTCCATCGCCACCTCCTGGAGTTTACTCAAACTCATGTCCATTGAGTTGGTGATGCCATAGGGGAAGTGAATGATCCCAAATGGCAGAGATTCCTGTAACTGTTTCAATTTGGAAAGGAGATGCTTCATTTTCCTTATTGGTGATTCTCACTGAGGTGAGAGGGAGGTCGGGGCAGGAGCAGAGGGAGGGATCAGCAGGGGATTTGAGGAATAGGGAGGGATACTCCTACCCCTTGATATAAAGGCAAGGATGTTGGGGGTGGTCCATGAACTGATACTAACTCCTGAATCAGATCCATGTGAAATAAATCTCACCGTCAGAAATGAAATCACCATCCCACCCTGAAAAATCAAAATTCCAGTTTCCTGAGTCCTGGCTTCTGTGTCACTTGTAGTTCCTTCCTCTTGGACTCCCTCTGACAGGGGCAGGGGAACTCTGGAGATAAACCAGTCCCTTCCACATGTACAAATCACACTGTTACGTTCCAAGGGTGTCACACCTTTTATTACAAAAACCAATAACTTAAGTCAGTTCTGTACAAAGTCAGTAGAACTCCTGGCCCAACAAGCAGCGGAAACTTCTACCCTGCCCCAGGAGGAGACAGGAGTCTTGGCCCAGAGGCTTGGAACCACCAGGGGCTGGCCAGTCAGCTGGAGCACTGTGTCCAAATTGAGGAGGGTCAAGGTGGGGTGTGGCTGAGTGAGGGCCCACCTGGCTGTGCTGGGGCCAGCTGCTCTGGGGAAACTCTGGGAGCACTGGGTCACCCAGGCGACAGCCAGGCCGAATCAGTGCTGCCAGCCTCCACCCAGTCCCTGCTTGGGCTGGAGCAGGTCAGCTCAGCAAAAGCATGTCTTCAAGGAGGTCCGCGATGTCAACGTCTCCAATGACAGGGCGAAGGAAGAGATCTCCAAGCAGGCTGGGTGGAATGGACTTGAGGGTGGAGGCCGTGAGGAGGACACGTGCCAAGCGGCTTTGGCCTGCAGGGCACCAGGGCTCCAGGACCTCCCACAGCGCCTGGTGCGCCTCCTGCTGCAGGTGCCCGATGTGGGAGGAGGCGTGGAGACCTGGCATGTCTGTGGGCAGAGAAGGCAAAGAGGGCTGGTGAGTGGCCTACCCCAATACCATGGGGTGAGACTGGCCCAAGACCTGAGGCCATCAGCTTGGTGCCTTTGAGGCCCCATCACTACCTCCTTCATTTATTTATTTTTCACTTCATTTATCCATCCTTCATGGATAGGATAGAGCCATGGGTAAGACCCTGGGTGGCCTGGTTTTGAATCCCACACTGTCACTTTATTAGCTGTGTGCCCTTGGGCAAATTTACTCAATCTCTGTGCCTCGGGTTCCTCATTGGTAAAATTGGGATAAATAATAGTACCTATCTACTAGGCTTGTTGTGAGGTTTAAATGAGCCAGTGTATGTAAAACCTTTAGAACTGGACCTAACACACAGTAAATGTAATGCGAGTGTTTGCTATTATTATATTGAATTACTCTGATCATACATTCCATGGGGGCATTTTGATGAGGAATTCTCATCTAGGCGCCTTTCAGATTACAAGGAACGCTTCCTCTATTTGTTGTCCTGGCTGAAGTTTATGAAGACTCCTCCTCCTCACCCCACCCGACCCCCATTTTCATTCCTCTTTTCTATGTGGTCTTTCTGAAACTGCAGTTTCATCTTCAGAACTTCTCCATGCAGTCTGCTCGTGAAGGTGCGACTGAGGCATAGCTAGGTCTGCCCACCCTCCCCTCCCCTTCTCCTGTCGTAAAGGTCAGGGAAATTTCTTAGCAGAGCAGCAAGGACTAGATTCTGACATCAATAGACCTGAGTCCCCATTCTTTCTCTTCCCCTACCTGGCTGTGTGACTTTTCGCAAGTCACTGAGCCTCTCTGAGCTTGCTTTGCAAAATGGCTATTTGGAGATAATCAGCACCCAAAGGGATTTCAGTTGTCAAGTCCTTAGAATGTGTCTTTCCCTGGCTGGGCCCTGCCCCCCCTCCAGCCTTGGCCCCTGTCCAGGAGTGTCTGGGATCTCACCAGGGTTGAAGAGGACGGTCCCTTTCAGGTAGGCATATTCCTTGGGGCTCAGCTCCAGACTCCAGAAGGACTCCAGGCAGCATTGCAGCCACTGCACCTCAGCTAGCGAGGGCTGGGGCCGGTCGGGCTGCTGGCTGCCGCCTGCCCCGCTGCTGGGCTTCTCCAGCAGGATCTTCTTGAGTATGCTAGGCATTGGGACCTCGGCCACCTGGAAGGTCACAGTGTCTTGGGCCAACCCCAGCAGGAAGAGGGGCCCCCAGCAGCCCCGCAGCAGCTGCCGCCGATCCTGGGGGGGCAGCTGGCAGAAAGACGGCAGGTTCTTGAGGAAGGCCAGCGTCTTGGCCAGAACATCCAAGGCCTCCCGGCAGGTGCGATGGGGCGTACATAGCTGGACAGGCCGGTGCTGCCTGCACAGGCAGCGGCCGCGGGCTGGGGCGACGGAGGGCCGGTCCCTGATGCTGGGGCTCAGAAGTGTATACAGAATGGTCGGGCGGCCTGCAGCACCCTGGCATGGGCAGGGCCCTGGCTGGCTGGAGCTCATGGTGGAGGATCTGCTCCGCCTTCTTCCTGGCTCTCCCACCTTCTGCTTGGTGCTGTGGGTGCTATTTATATCCCCAAATGGGGGAGGGAGGGGGGAACCGCCCAACAACCTTGACTCCAGAAGTCATGTTCATTGAAAAAAAAAAAAAAAAGAAAGAAACTCACGCTGACCCTGGCAGGACCCAGGGGGAAGTGGTGGGGGAGGGAGCCTTGGGAGCTCCACGTGGCCCTGATATCACTTCAGTCAATGAAGCAGCGGGTGCAGGGCACAGGGCTGTCTGCCCGCTGGCCCCGCTGCCCTTTATCAGATGATTCAAGTGGATAAACAGGGTCATTAACCCAGGCTGTACCAGGGCACCAAGGCCTCAGGTGCACAATCAGCAGGTGGCCATGGCAGGTGTCCCTATTGGTGCCTGCAGGACTCACGCTCAGCAGGGGAGCCAGCCCCAGAGCCGGATGAGCCTTGAACGCAAGGCCCAACCTGGAAGCGCCTTATCACTTGCTTGTTTGCCTAACCTTGAGGCCCTGCTCCTGTTGTCAGTAAGGAACAGGCTGCAGGGAAGGGAGCCAGGATCCTGGGGGGCTGGGAGGACTTTGCCTGGCTCTGCAGTCTAGAAGGAGGCCCCCTTCCTCTGACCCCAGTTCTGGGTGGCAGAGAGGAAAAATAAGGTCCTTAAGAACTCGTTCTCCCCAGCCTGGATTCCTGGAGCTCTTGAAGGGCCCTTGTCTGCTGAGAAGCCCTGGCAGAATGATGATGAAATACTACTGTTTATTGAGCACCTACTATGTGCCAGGCACTTTCCACTCTAATATTCAGAGCTTCCTTCTGAGGCAAGATTCTGACTTTTTGAGACTCAAAGAAGTAAAGTGACTTGCGCAAGTTCACGCCACTAAAAGAGACACAGCCCAGATCTGTCTGACTACAAAATCCTTGATTGTTCCCCTGGACCCATTGGCCCAGGTATGTAGCCAGAGCTGGTGACGACCTGGGCCCCCACCTCACTGGTGCAGATGTTGCCCACTTATGATCTGGGCAGAAACGTTGCTCTGCCACTGGCGGCATGGCTTCTCTGTCCCCAGGCAGCTGTCGTGGATGCTGGGGCCTGGGTGGTGAGTGCTGGTGGCAAGGTCCTTGGCTGTGTCAGCTCTGTGGACCTTGGCAAGCCCAGCCTGGCAAGCCTTCTTCTGACACACTGTTGGGCAACCATCGCCACCCCTGACATCCTCTCCTGGCTCTCCCTCTTCCCAGTTGTGTGACTGTGGGCCGAACCCCAAATCTCTGTGGGCCTCAAAAGCTTCACTCAGGACAGTGCCTGCTTGCAGGGCTGCTATGAGGACAAAGTGAGGCCCTAGGTGTCAAATTCCAAGCAGCTTCTGGCATACTAGAGGAGGACTTTGCTCCCCACTTCCCCTGACTAAGGAACTGAGGCAAACAGGCCCCACAGACAGGCACGCATCTTTCATGCAATTAAAATCTCATAATAATCTTTTTTTAAAAGGCACAAGTAGATTTTGATAAATTATAATTAAGTTGATCACCAGACATAGGTTTAATGTGAAACTAAAGACATCAATTTTATGGCCACACATACATATAAAAAAAGCCACTCTAAGATGCTGGGTGAAGCCCTAGCAGTGTGTTCACATGGTCATACAATTGTGTAAAATTTGTGAAAGTGGGCCTTTAGGGAAATCACATAATAACTTTAATTCTTGCATTTATAAAGTTCATTTAATGCCCTTTAATCTTCCTACGTCTTCATAGCATCCCCTGGAAGGAGAGTCTAGAGTTAGATGGGCTGGGTCTAAACCTTGCTTCATCACTTAGCTGAGTGACCTGGGTGCATCACTTCATGCTTCTGTGCCTCAGCTTCCTTACCTTAAGCCACTTGTAGATATTGGTTTTATGGGGACTGAAACTCATACAATTTTGTAGGGCCTTCTTTAACAGTAGAAAAATCAGTTGTGAAAGTGAACATTTAATGAATGAAAAAACAAGTTAGTACAAATTATAAACTAAAATAAGCTGACCAAAAATACAAACATCACAAACGCAGGAGAACACCAAAGTACTTTTACTGATGAAGTGCCTGCCAATAATTGCCAACATATTTTACGTGCACACTCTTCACTCATCTCTTCACATGTTAGTGATATTTATTTGGAAGGCAACACAAACACAGAAAAGTTGTTGGGACATCCCCGGTGGTCCAATGGTTAAGACTCTGCTTCCACTGCAGGGGGCATGAGTTTGATCCCTGCCAAGGAATTAAGATCCTGCCTGACACAAAAAGTTTGCAAGTATAGTACAGGGAACTTTTCTTACTTTGAATAATTTGAAAGTATGTTGCCAACCTGAGCCCCAGCACCCTCAATTACTTTAGTGTACAATTACTACAAACAAGGATGTTTTCCTATACTACATAACAATCAACATAAGGAAACAGACATTGAATAAAGCCAGGAAATTAACATCTAATTTCATTGAATAACATCAGGAAAGTAATACCTAATCTCTAGTTTTTACCTTTTAAGTTTCATCAAATGCTCCAGTGAAATCATGGTAGTAAAAGGGCTCAGTCCAGAATTGCACATTGCAATTCTTCACCATGCCACTTCAGCCTCTTGTTGTTTAGTTGCTCAGTTGTGTCTGATTTTTTGCGACCCCATGGACTGTAGCCTGCCAGGCTCCTCTGTCCATGAGATTTCCAGGCAAGAATACTGGAGTGGGTTGCCATTTCCTTCTCCAGGGGATCTTCCCGACCCAGGGATCGAAACTGCATCTCCTGCATTGCAGGTGGATTCTTTACCGCTGAGCCACCGAGGAAGCCCCACTTCAGCCTCTACTGGTCAGGAAAACTTATCCTCAGTCTGTCCTCCCCTTTCACAGTCTTGACACCTTTGAAGCGTTGTTATTTTGTAGCATGGTTTTCAATTGGGGTTGTCTGTGGCTTTTTTGTGATTAGACTCAGGTTATGTATCCTACTAGGACTGTCCCTGGAAGTGATGCTGTGTTCTTGATACACCCTGATATATCAGGGAGGACCTATCTCCATTTGTCCCAGGGTTCACTTTGATTACTTGATTAAGGGGATTTCTGCTAGACTTTGCCATATACCAGTTACTCTTTTCCTCTTTGTAATGAATCAGTATTTCTTGGGAAAGTAGTTTGAATTATGTAAACATTCCTCCTCGTACATTGAATATATATGTTTGTGTATATTTAAGTATGAATTCATGGTCTCCTATTTTATTCAATGGCTTGTAATCTGTTACTTTCATTATTTACTTTAATGCTCAGATTGTCACAGACTTGTTAATGGGTGCCCTGTCCAGCTGGGATCAATGTCCTTTTGACATGCCTGGGACTTCCCTTCTAGCTCAGTTGGTAAAGAATTTGCCTGCAATGCAGGAGACCTGGGTTCGATCCCTGGATCAGGAAGATCCCCTGGAGAAGGAAATGGCAATCCACTCTAGTACTCTTGCCTGAAGAATCCAATGGACAGCGGCACCTGGCAGGCTACAGTCCATGGGGTCACAAGAGTCGGACACAACTTAACAGCTAAACCGCCACCAACCACCATCACTCTATAAACATCTTTTGTTTTCTGGTATATGAAGATATCACTTTTCTAGCCCCTGGAGTCAACCAGTACTAAAGAAGCTCTGATTTACTCTTTTATTTGGGAATAGTATTTAAAAACCATGATCTGGGTGCCAGAATCATACTTGGAAACCAAGATCTGGAGACGTCCCTGGTGGTCCAGTGGCTAGGATGCTGCACTCTTTATGCATGGGGCCTGTGTTCGATCCCTGTTCAGGGAACTAGATCCCACATGCCATAGCCCTAGGATCCCACATCTGCAATGAAGATCAAAGATCCCGAGTGCCACAACTAAGACCCAGCACAGCCAAAAAAATTAATTAAATAAAACAATTAATAATTTAGAAACCAAGATTTGCTAATTGCTATTAGGGTGCCACTGCTCTCAGGCCCTCCTAGAGCTAGGGAATATTTGACTGTGCATGCGTCCATCCACACACACACAGTTATATTTATATTTACTTATACATACTGAAAAACATGCAAAAGTGAAAGTCGCTCAGTCATGTCCTACTTTTTGTGACCCCGTGGACATTCTCCAGGCCAGAACACTGGAGTGGGTAGCCTTTCCCTTCTCCAGGAGATCTTGCCAACCCAGGGATTGAACCCAGGTCTCCCACATTGCAGGCAGATTCTTTACCAATTGAGCTCATGAACACATACTATTACCTGTAATTTTAATCCACTCTAATGGGATTCATTCTACTTTTTGCCCTTTCTATTAAATACATTATACCTTCCTTGTTGACACAGGGGCTTCCCTGGTGGCTCAGATAGTAAAGAATCTGCCTGCAATGCGGGAGACCCAGGTTTGATCCCTGGGACAGGAAGATTCCCTGGAGAAGGTAATGGCTACCCACTCCAGTATTCTTGCCTGGAGAATTCCAGGGACAGAGCAACCTGGCAGGCTATAGTCCATAGGGTCATGAAGACTCGGACACAACTGAGCGACTCATATTTTCTCTGACATTGAGAAATCTGGTTTCCATTATTCTTAATTTATTTACTCATTGAACCAAGCCTCTATTTGTAACTGATCTCCCTTCTCCGCCAGCACTGTCTCTGCTGTGAGATGCCTTCCTCTCCCCACCTGGGCACTGATACCTTGGGTCAGGTTGCCTCCACCCGTTCAGGGTCACTTTCACCCTGCTGGACCTGACCTGTTCCTCTGTGCCAGGTCGCTGCTCTGGGTGGACACCCTCCTGTCCCTGTTGAGGCCAACGTGGTGCCCTTTCTCCTCGGGTGCCTGCTTTTACCGTGTTCCCTTCTACCCAGCAGTTTTAGGGTGGACATTTTCAGGAAGAGAAAGGAAGAGAAGGAGGTCGAGCTGTTAGTGATTTTTGGAAATGAATAGAGAGATGATTCTGTCTTTCCTCTTGCAAGGTTAATTAAACAAACATTTATTTATTTTTG